ATAAACTTGGTGGCTAAAAGCGATTTATTATCTTCCCGTTCTGGAGGCTGGAAGCCTGCAGTGGGTCCCGCTGGGTTAATGTCAGAGTACCGGTGGGCTGTGTTCCTTACGGAGTCTCTAGGGCTGACCCGGTTCCTCCTCTTTGCCTGCCACCCTCAAAGCCAGCCACGGCCAGTGAGTGTCACGTCGAGCAGCCCAGCGGGTGAGCCAGGCTACGCTCCCGTCTCAGGGTCCATCACTCACCCACCTCTGCAAAGGCCCTTTGCCACAGAAAGTGCCACAGTCACAGAGCTGGGCCTTAGGGTGTGGGCATCTTTGGGGGCCTTTATCCTGCCCACCGCAGTCCGAGGAGGGCGCCTTCCACAGGACATGCTGTGACTGCAGAGACACCCAGAGCCCGGAGCCAGAGCCTGGGAGGGTCCAGATGGCCTCTGGGCCTCGCGCTATGTCACCTCTGCAGTGAGTGAGTAGCACCAGGGGCGGCGGGGGGCTCACAGTGCGGCGGAGCCCCCTCCCAGGGACCGGCAGTCACGGAAGGTCCCGTTTTGGGCAGTGGGTATGATGTTCTTCCCGTCCCTCTGTGGGACCATCTCATTCTCGCTGGGGAGGTGGCATTTCTACTGCTTTGTAAGTCATGGAAGGGAAACCGCTGGAAAACCAGGGTTTAGGGGGAGCGCACCAGGATCTGGGCCACGCCCCCCTCCCCCCCCCCCCCAAGGGTAATGGATGTGTATGCCCCTCCCCTCCCCCCCCCCCCCCCCCCCCCCCCCCCCCCCCCCAAGGGAGACAGGACTGGAGACCCTGAGCCGCTCTGGCCGAGGGACATCCTCAGGCAGCAAGGACATCCCGGGGCCCCCGGCGAGGTGAGACTCGGTGTGCGCCGTGAGCCCTGAGGAGCCGGGCAGGCCCCGCGACACAAGTGACAACTGCTGTCATCAGAGAGACAGGGACGCTCTCCTCTCAGACCCAGAGAGAGAGGGTGCAGGGCACTGCCCGGCGCAGCCCAGACAGGAAGCCAGAGGCCTGGACGGCGCTGCACCCTCTCAGGACAGGCGGGCAAAGGCAGCGCCCCGCAGCCAAGAGGGGGGAACCCCGCCAGGTGTCGGGGCGAGATGCTCAGCGTCTGGCGGGAGGCACTTCCAGCCCCAGAGCCCGGTCCGCTCGACCACAGATGTTGAGTCTCTTCAAATCTCCAGATACCAGAGAATTATGCAATCTAGGGTGGATGACATCCTAAAATGTCATCTGGTCTGCCCCACCTGCCTGAGGAAGGTTCCATCAACCCTTTTACAGGTGCTACAAGGCCATCACAGCCACCAAGCAGGTAACGGTGGCCTTCCCCCCAAAATCCCGAGACATGGGTAGAGCCGGAGGTGGAATCTGGGCCTCCGGTTTCCTGTCCAGGGGCCCCAGGCCTTGTCCCCAAGGCTCCAGGAGCCCAGGGAGTATGTGCAGCTGTGGGGGCTCGACTGAGACGTTGGGGGACAGCAGGTCTGCTCCCTCATGCCTGGCCAGACAGTTCCAGCTGCAACGGCTTCTGCCAGCTGCTTACCCGCTCTGGCCTTCGTTTCCCCTGGAACAGAGGGGCTGGTCTCCCCACCTCTCCCTTAGCATTCGTCAAATACCAATTCCCTTCCCTCATCCCTCGCCCTCCCTCCTCCTCCATACTTAATTCAAATCAAGCCAAATTGATTCTCCTAATCAGCCTCACTAATTTCCGGTCCTGGCAGTTTCCAAAACTAAAATGCCTGTTGTTCAGAGCCCCAGGTCTCAGCTTCCTGTGGTCTTCCCGTGTGGGCCGCATACCAGCGGGCGATGGAGGGGTAGGGTCAGCCCCGGGACCCCGTGCCAGCCCCGGCCCGGGCAGTGGAGCAAATGGCCTAATTATTAACTCTTTCTCCCATGCAGCCAGCCCCCACGCACATCCGCAATCCGCTCACCCTCCGTCTCCCACACGCACTGGCGCCCACACGCCAGGGCCCCGGCGTGCTTGGGCTCTGAGTCATCCCCAACATGGGGTTTCATCTCTCTCTGGGGCTATTTATCATCAAGAATCACATACGCTTCATGTGTCAACAACTCACTGGGCAGCGGAACGTCCCTCGCCTCCCCCGGGCAGCTCTGCTGGCTCCCTGCTCCGTCCTCCCCCTCCAGACCTGCAGTCCTCACCTGGCCCCCCTCCCTCCAGCCCCTTCCCGGATGCAGCCCAGGTGGGCCCCGAGCCACAGAGCACGGTCCTCCCCTCTTCAATCCTAAGCACCCCAGTTTCCTAAGGAAATTCCTGACGCTCTCCCTTCTGGGCTCACCAGAAGAAGGTGTAACAGGGAGGCCATTTCCTTCCCCCTCCTCTACCCTTGATGAACACACAAGTTCTAAACGTTCTCATCACCCTCGGGGACTTGGGCCTGCAAAGCTCCCCATCACGCACGGCCCCAGGTCCAATTCCCCCGTCTGCTCATTAAGATCTTCGGGCACCTGGCTCAGCACCTGCTCCCCGTGCACTTCCGGTGAGAACCCAGGCCCCACCTCCCACCTCCCACCCTCACTGCCCACCAGCACAGGTGCAATGCCCCCTCCTCTGTCCCCTCCTCGGTGAGACCGCCTCCCCTGTCCTTCAAGGCCCAGCCTCCACCTCCTTCCCTGGCGCTGGAGGGTGAGGCTGCTCCCCTGCCAGCCCGTGAGCGCCACCAGCACCGTCTCCCCTCTCAGCGACCCCACGTTACTAGCGCAGGACAGACTCGAGGCCAGGGCAAGGTCAGCGCTGCTGGGTTCCTGGGGCTGCCGTAACACAGGACAACAAACTGGGAGGCTCAAAACAACAGAAACTTATTTCATCAGTTCTGGTGGCTAGAAGTTGAAAGTCAAGGTCATGCTCGCTCTGAAGGGCTCGAGGGCAGGATCCTTCTTTGACTCTTCCTAGCTCCTGGGCTACAAGCTTTGTCATTCCCTGACTTACGGCTGTGTCACTCCAGTCTCTGCCCCATCATCCCACGGAGTCCTCCTGTCTGTGTGCGGGTCCAGGTCTCCCTCTTCTTACGTGGACACCAGTCGCTGGAAAAGGGCCCACCCAGGTGACCTCCGCTTAACTTGGTCACATCTGCAAAAACCCCCGCTTCCAAATCAAGCCGCGTGCACTGCACAGGTGCCTGGGTTAAGACTTGGACATAGCTTGGTGGGGAAACAACTCTGTCCTCAACACTAGGACCTTAGACAAGTTACTTCATCCGCCTGAGTCCAGGTTTTCTTAACTTTAAGATAACATCCCTCCCAGGGGGGTTGTGAAGAGAAATGAACTAAAGCAGGTGAAACCCGGCCGCCTCTCGGCACAGATTCCTCAACCTCTCTCTGTCGGGCCCACAAGACATTCTTACAGGTAGAACCTCAGGCCCAGCCACTGTGACAGTGACGATATTATGGCCAAAATCTAGAATCTGTGCCAATTTATTTCTTTAATTAGGGAATAACTGGCAAACTTTGCCACTTTAAAATGATTAACATTGGCCAGGTGCGGTGGCTCACGCCCGTAATCCTAGCGCTCTGGGAGGCCAAGGTGGGAGGATCACTCAAGGTCAGGAGTTCGAGACCAGCCTGAGCAAGAGCAAGACCCTGTCTCTACTAAAAATAGAAAGAAATTAATTGGTAAACTAAAAATATATAGAAAAAATTAGCCGGGCATGGTGGCGCATGCCTGTAGTCCCAGCTACTTGGGAGGCTGAGGCAGGAGGATTGCCTGAGCCCAGGAGTTTGAGGTTGCTGTGAGCTAGGCTGACGCCTCGGCACTCTAGCCCAAGCAACAAAGTGAGACTCTGTCTCAAAAAAACAAAATAATTAACATTATTATTATATAGATATATAATATGTAACATGCTGTAAAATTTATAATATAAATTTTCTTGAAACTTATAATTGTTATCAATCTTAAATAATTAAGGACCATCAGTTTAGAGCACAAAAGTTCCTTACGGAGCATTTGTCCTCCCCCTACCCCCTTGGAGCCCAGCGTCACAGAGCTGGGGACAAGAGCTCGGCCACTGGGCTGGGACTGCCTGGGGCCAGACCCTCACTCACTGCTAGCTGTCTGCACAATGGTAGGCTCACCGCGTCAGCTCTCCGGCCTCAGTTTCTCGCCTGTGAAATGGGAGCACCCACCTCTCGGGGTTGCCGTGAGGGTGGCAGGGAGCAGTGCTGTGTCACACTCAGGACGCGCCTGGCAGGTAGTGAGTGCTCGGTGCCTGCCAGCCGTTGTGAATGCTGTGCACGCACTTCTCCCGGGGAGGACAGACCTCAACGTGAGCCCAGAAGTCAAGGCCGGTGGGTGTTCTCTTCTGCGCGTGAACGCTCTGCCCCGTTCCCCGGGAGGCTATCGGGTGAGAGTTAACAGGGACCCTGAAGACTCCCCAAAGCCACTGCTGCCTCACTTGGCACCCTAAGAAGATCAGGGTGGCGGCTCTTTGAGGGCTAATTGCTCAGGAGACAGCTGACATGGAGTTCAACAGAAAAAAGTGTTTCCCCACCGGCCTGCAAGTTCTAGTCGGGCCACCAACAGCAAGCTAAGGTGAATAAAAACGAATTTTGTTCTGAAAATGCCACGGCGGGGGGGTGCGGGGGTTGAGACTTTGGAGACCCCTGGGTGGTTGTGATTCTGTGTTCAGCGTTTCCCACACACCCCTCCCAGAGTGTCCGCATCACCCTCCTCCCCCTCCCCCTCCTCCTCCTCCTCCCTCCCCTCCTCCCTCCTCCTCCCTCCACCTCCTCCTCCCCTCTCCTCCCCCTCCTCCACTCCTCCTCCCCTCCTCCACTCCTCGTCCTCTCCACCTCTCTCCTCGCCCTCCTCCCTGCCCTCAGCTCCTCTGCCCACAACCTCCTCTCCTGAAGCATGAAAGAGACAAAGCGCCAAAGTCTTTTTCCCTTGGTGGCATTTCCCCCCTCGCATTCCTAAAATGCTCTCCCACCCTGCAGTCCAGCGCCAGCCTCTGCTCCCTCCGTTTGCTTTGACAGACCTGGAGACTTTGTAAGAAGAGGAAACAGGAGCTCGCATCCCAGCGAGACGTTCCGTGGGAAATGGCACAGAGTGCCGGGCGCAGGTCCCCAGAGCCATTTATTTCTCCTCCATTATCACTCATTCGGCGGCGGCGGGTTATGACTTTTCATGTGTGTTCCCCTCCGCTTTAGCAGTGGTGTGTGGTTCCCTCCAGGTGGGCGTGGTGGGGCTTCTTTGTTTTGTTTGCCAGGGGAGTTTTCTCCCCTCCTTGTTGATGTTTTCTCCTTGCATAGATGGGGAAAAGTGAAAGGGCAAAATTAAAGAAGGTTTCTTAATGTCGTGGCTCCAGAGCAGTTTTGCAGAAATGCTGGTCGAGTGGAACCCGACTGGGAAGGGGTCCTCCCAGAAGGGGGGCTCTGCACGCGGGGATGTCAGCTCCTCCTCCCTGGGGGCGCCCGCCAGCTGAGAGCAGGGCCCTGCGTCCAGCTGTCCCAGCCCCAGGTCCTGAAAACACGGAAGGGCCTTTCCGGTCAGAATGTGGGGCTCCCTGAGCGCAGGTCCTGGGCCCTGCTGGGCCCGTGTCCCTCTCGGCAATGGGACATCTAGAGGCCAAGGCGGGTCCTGGAACTGATCACTGAGTGAGCAGCAGAAGGTGGCCGGGAGGTCACTCTCACCAGTCTCGCCCTGATGCTCCCTGGCCATTACGGGGCAAATTATATTTATATAGAGACAGACAGAGAGAGAGATCTCTTGCTGACATCGGCAGCAAATAAATACTATATTAGTCATGTTGTTGTTTTAAATCAGAGCAGTTGACTTTTATTCCAGAATTCCTGAATTTAGAATCAAAGAACTGACAGGATGTTGCCCATTCAAGATCCATCCAGAAATGCACCATCAGCTCTGGGTGTCTTCCCTGATTTAGCTTTTCTGAAGCCCACTCTGTGCCCTCTCTGACCCCCCCAAAACATCAGTGTTTCTCAGCAACATTGACTTTCATGAGACTCAGCAATTACGGGGGTGGGGGGGATTTCGCCCCCAAACTGCCCTTTTCCCTGCCAGGGCCTCTGGGGTCCTTAACTGTCCCACAGGGGCACAGCCCCTCCCGAAGGGATCCCCTAGAGACCACCAACCCCCCCCCCCGGGGAAACAGGCCCCTGGGCACCCTCGGGGCTCCAGGGGCTGCTTCCTAAAAATCCGCAGAAAACAGAGGAGGTGATTTAACTCCCCTTTCTGATAAGCTCCCTGGCTGTCTGTTGCCCAAATACAAAGGTCCTCATTAGCTTTCACTCGGGCTTTGAACTCCACACAAAACCCTTCCTTCCCCTAACTGCCCGCTGGAGCTGGCGCTGGGGCCCCGCCAGGCCGGCCTGTCAGCATTTCCTTTGTTGTCTATTTTTAAGGTGTTTATAATGGAGCCTTTTTTCTGCTCCAAGCTCGCCCTGCATAGGTGAAATCTCAGCCTGGGAGGATGTTCCCCAGCTTCCCAAGCACCACTAGGCTCTTTTTTTTAATGCCTGAGCGTAAGCTAAGCTACTTTCGAGTGCAGCCCATTTTTAGCACTTTTTAGAGGGCCTAGGTCATACTAGCCAGGCGATCGGCAAAGCCCAAGAACAAGGGGGAATGACGCCCATTTTTCCCGATGGCCCCAATTCACCTGCAAGCTGCGGTCCACAAAATTACAGGCAAGTTAAACAATTTCAATGAAAAATGCTTTTGTTCCTCGGAGGCAATATTTTAGTTGTCCTGGGTCCCAGACTAGCCCAAAAAATTTGATTTAGTCCCTAGAGTTGCTGGTCTTCCACCCTAATGATGACAGGCCCAGGACAGGGCCAGCTTCAGGAAGAAGGGGACCCAGAGAGCATGCTCCCTCCTCCCCTCTGGACAAGGTGGGCATCCAGGGAAATTGCAGAGGGGGCCATTCGTCTTCAAGAGTGTCCCCCCTGCCACCCCTGGGCCCTTCTCTCCTTGGGCGCCAGATGCTGAACTCCAATTCCAAAGCCCACACTATAGCACCCTATCCCTAGAGGATGGGGTCAGACGCCCACCCCTTATCCCGAGTGCTCCGCTCTGGGCCCACACTGCTCTCTGCTCCCTGTGCCCAAACACTGGGCCCTGCCTGCTCAGGGCAGCTAGGAATCTAGTCCTCCGGCTGAGCACCCTTGCAGGGAGGATGCAGCAGGGAGCAGAGGTCAGCCTGGCCCTGCCACTCCTGGCCGTGCAACGGCAGACAGGTCACTTCTCCGCACACGACACTGCCTTACTTATCAAGCGAAGGCATCGGGGCCCTAGACCATCTCATACGGCCTCCTGTGCAATCGTGTGCATTTTTTTTTTTAATTATTAACCTACATGAATATCTACCCGGTAGACTTTCAGACAGCACCAAAAGACCTGATAAAAAACACCTGGGCAGTTTAGAAGAAGCTAAATCTTCTCCCACTCCACATACTCTGAAAGCTCAAGTTTTTCCTGAGAGTCTCCTCAGCAGAAGAGGCAAAAGCTGAGTGCCAGGGAAGCCAGGACCCCCTGTGTTCTGGGAGCCCCCCAGGTCGCTGAGCCCCACCTCTGCACACAGCTGGGGAAGCAGGCCTCCCCACTGCTTGTCTGTGATCAATATAATCTACATGATCAATACGGATCGCCACAGTTAAGGACTCTCAAATGCCACACAGTTTGGCCACTACCAGCCAATGCCCTTGAATTCCCTGTGCATCGTATTATCTCTGTTCTCTCATGGAACTCTGCATTGTGTGCAAAGTGATGCAATATTTCTACAGTACCTCCAAGAGACCACTGGGAACTCGCAATGTTTTTTCTAGACTTGCACCTACCATGCGTTAGGCCAACTCAGGATGGCGAGGAAGATGATGGTCCACGATACAATTTGTATAACAGGTTTGCTCTAGGCTCACTTTAAATATAAAGGTGTCTACAGTGTATTCTTAATACATTCTGGGATCATAAGTGAATCAGTCCATATACAGGCAACTTTTCCACAACTCATTATTCCACGAAGCAAATGTTCCTACAAGGATAATGAAGCATAATTCAAAGAGCAGCCCGGACTCACTTAGCACTCCTGCCAGAGAGAAAAGCAGACAGCCCCCGGCAGCCACGCCATTGCAGCAGTGGAGTGTGACCTGCCCACAGAGCTAAGCCCGTACAAGCCTTAGAATGCCGCGTGTTGCGCCAGCATCCGGGACAGGGGTGGACTGTTCCAGGCAGTGGACTGCTCAGGCTTCTCGCTTCCTTCTGCTGCTGTCCCTCCCCAGCCCAACCGGCTGGAAGGAAAGGGAACATCCAAAACCGTTGGAGTTGTGAGGAAAGACACTAAAGCCATGCCCCAGTCTGCTGTCTGGAGTTCACTCGCCCGTCCTGTACCGAGCTCTAGAAAATATCCCTCCACCAGCACGTGCTCACCACGTGGCCCTGGCCCGGCACCAGGCTGGGCACTGGGAGTCAGAATGTCGACCACGTGGTTTCTGTCGCCCCAGGGCAGATAATTGATTCCGTTCAGTGGTTCTCAACCAGGGGCGGTTTGGGCCCGCGAGGGATGCTTGATAATGTCTGCAGATGCTTTGGTGGCCACTGTGGGTGGAGGCCAGGGATGCTGCTAAACATGCTATGAGGCAGAAGACAGCCCCTCAGCAAGGTTAAGAACCTGTGCTCTCGGCGAGGAGGGGAGGAACGTGGACTCAGCTGGGGCCGACTGGCACGGTGTCCCGCATTCTGCAACTGAGTGTCAGCTAGGAGACCACGGAAGTTCAGGGATAGGAAAGCCATTAGGGTGGCTGCAGCTACACACCTCATCTCTGGGCCTCAGTTTCCCCCTCTCTGAAATAAGAGTCTTTAAGCTTGTGCCTACAAACGCCCCTGGGTGGGGCTGCTTTTGCCCCTTCCTCTCTTAGACATAAAAATCTCCTTCTTCTCACACCGTTTTAAATTAGGAATATTTGGTGGTGTGATCGTGTATGTTTAAAACCAAACAGAAATTTCCTGTTCCCCGGCACAAAATAAAATTCAAGTTTATAAAAGGGCCTTTAAAATCTCATAATCAAGCCCATTAGCCAGGCAAAATGCTCCACTTTGATTTCGTGGTGTTTAGCTTTCTTTTCTTAGCACCACTTCATTAGCGCGCTTTTAATGGATCTTCTCCAGCCTGCTTCTTGAAATTGCTGAAAAAGAAAACATACGATTTTAAAGCACGAGATACAAGAGAAATATCCCTTCCCCTTTAAACGTGGAGGCTGGGAGAGAGCAGAGTGCGGGGAGACGCCTGGGAACCCAGTTAGCGGGGCCCCGACCAGGTCCGACTGGAGCTTTGGAATCTTCTGCTGCATTTTTGCTCACTGGCCTCATAGCCAGTGGGTGCACTAATTTCCAGCTCTTTGCTGCTTCAGCGGACCAGATTTTCTTGATTAATAACAAAAGGTTTTGTTGGGATCAGAGCTGTTTCCCACCATCTCTATGCAAACCCCGGCAACACAAACTGTGAACATTAACATTTCAAGGCGCTTCCTATTAAGGATGGCAAGAAAAGCCCCTCTTGGTGGGTAAAATCCATTTTGTCCTCTCTTGTGACATCTGTTCTAACTTTTAAAGCAGAAAGGAAACTAGATAATGCCAGAGAGTCCTTTGATTTACAGTACTTGCCCTTCTGGATGCCCAGGGGCTCTCTGAAAGCCCGTAGCCTTTCCTTTCTGGGCGTGCACGGCACGGACGTGAGAATCTGCAAATTCCCTTCGCACCGGAGAACTCCAGGAGTAATTCTGAACTTGTCGTTCAAACTTTTAATTGTCTTTTTCATGATTGCTTAATTGCATTTTCAATTACTTCTAAGCCTCACAGAACTGAATCTCTTAAACTTCAATTTTTAAAAACACAAAATTTTGATGTTTATTGCTACATATGCTATTGCATTTCATCTCTAATTCCCCCCAAAGCTAATTTTGCTTTAGTGGAATGAGGAAATCGAAGCACATTCGGTCAGGCAACTGAAATACGTGCACAAATGCGGAGGAAATCCTGCAAGTGATAGAATAAAAAAGACAAGAAGAGAAGCCCTGCAGAGGCCCTGTCTCCTCCTACCATCTGTGCTGCAAGCTCTGGGGTCCCTTACATTGGTCATCCCTAAAACAAAGCTGCAGGCAGATTCCAGCCGGTTTTCCATTCACTATTCATTCAGGGGTCCATCCGCTCAGTATGCATTCAGCCAACTGCTGTGCTAAATCAGGGCCTTCTCCCAGAATTGACATGGTAATGAAGTCATGGTGCCGCTCAGTGAAAAGACCGCCATAGGTATGCCCCGCTCTGACAAATCCACCCTTTCACCCCATTGAGGCCTGAAAATTATCTCATAACATCCCAACATCTGTGCACAGGGTCCTGCCTTTTGGAGCTGGGCATGTTTATCCCGGGCCGAGCCCTGCTCACGAGAGGCGGGGCAGGCCGGGCCCAGC